AGATGTTAATACAAATATAAGTTATATATGGATTATTTTGTAATTTACCTTCAAATGATACCAATCCTCACATATTATACATTGTAGCATGTCATCTTCGTCACCTTCTGGATCAGGATATGGTCTTGCGCAGATGCAATAAACACCATCAAAATTCTGATTGTATTTATTTTCAGTATTGATAGCAGATTTTAGCTAGAAAGCACAATAAGCATCGGTCAATCAACGCAACATAATTTTATATAAAATGTACAAAAGTATGTAAGTAAAAAATCCATTACTTTCTCTAGATTACATTGTTTGCCATCAAACTTAGTATTTCCACAGTCGCATCTAAAGTGTCGCTTTGTATATAGTTCTACAAGTTCATGGCCTTCATGACAGTGAAAGCTACATGCCAAACAGATGGCAGCTCGAATTTTGTTTAAGCAACATGTTTTACATGCATACAATGCCTGTCTTATATATCCCTACAAACAGTTGTAAATAAACAAACTAATTAGTTAAATGAAGAACAAAACTATAAAGCGCAATACTGTCACAGGCAAAAAATCAAAAACATTGCTACCTTACTGTAAGTACAATTCTGGTCGTCGGATGCACCTAGAACGGCATATGCATCCTCTTCGAGCTGATTTTCTACCTGGAGAACATCGAGCATTGTGACAGAGCTGTCGTCCTCCACAGATTCGGCTAACTGATCAGACATATTTCCGATTTCGTTGCGATTCGTGAAAAAATACGAGAGGGTCTGACCGCAGAGTAGGGTGAAGATATTCGAAGTTGGAATCTTCGTGAGTGTCGAAGCAATCCGTTAAAAACGTGGAAGGTTAAAGCAAATTGCGAGCGTCGAATGATTCATGGACTGGCAACGATGCATTCGATGTGATACATCTTATCGACCTTTTACTCAGTTTTTCGTTCAATGATGTTCGATCCTCCTCCCGTAATGAAGGAATCGCACGTCTTCTTACCCGCGCATCAGGATCTTAAATATAAGCACCGATGGGCCAACGGGCAACGAGTACCTTGTCGATAACATATATCACAGTATATACAAAGTTACAAAGGTTGTGATCAAAGTCTCGCTACAAATGACAACTTTGAAACATTTAATGGACCAATTAGGAGAAAGAATTTTACTAACTGACCAATTAAAAAAACGCTTCAAAGCGTTTGCAACATCGCATTGACCATATCTAAATAGCGCACTCTCTGGATTCGTTCCGATATTCAGTGTCAATGCTGAAACTATACAATATACGTCACGTGTACTATAGATTTTCAGTACTGGCAGTGAATATCGAAACGTACTCTCTGTCGGCTTCGATGTCAAAGTACTTTTACATGGTAGCGTCAAGCGTCAAAGATCAGAGCATGCGCAATTGCGTAGTAATAGCTGTGTTCTAAAATTCCACTAGATATAATGTAAACTACAGATTTTCAGCGCTGGCAGAATTTTGGAACACAGTCTATAGCCGTACGCGAATACGTTTATGCACGATGGCACATGAGGCTTAAGTTTGTTATATGCCCAACGTGCTTCACGTTCGCATCACTGGAATCAGTACTGTTGACTGCACTGGACATGGAAACGCTTGCTGCGCGGTAAAATGAGATGCGATAACCAATGAACATATTAGGAGCTGTAAGCTTATTGGCTATCGCATCACATTTTGCTGCGCGGCAAATGTTTCCGTGTCTAGTATGCAAAAGCCATATGGCGACTAGATGTTCGCATCGCGTTAAATCTTAAATTATGGGTACTTCCCATTTGATAACACAAATCGACTAAGTCGATTCAAATGTACATGATCAAACAAATCCTCCAGTTGTAAAAATTACTATTTTAAATCGTTTGTATTTCGTATGAAAAGTTTGAAATGTAATTAGAAAGGTTTGTGAGTCAGAGTGCGATTACATGTAGCGCGATACACGGTTCGCTGTATAGAAACTAACTAAAGCTACGTTTCAAAACTTCCTCTCCTCTATATGCTATAGTATATACATATAGTATATACGTATGTAGTATATAATATATAGTATATACTATAGTATATAGTATATACATATATATGCTATAGTGTATACGTGTACTATATATTTCGAGTAAAATTTTTCTTGGAGAGGAGGTTTTGGAACATAGCTTAGGTAACTATAGGAACCATAATCATACCACTTGCTTCTTTTCTCCTCTATTACATGTAGCGCAGTAAGCGGCACGGACTAGCAAATAAACTTTAATATGAATTTTTTAAATATATTAACTTATTTCTATATACATTTCATTAATACTTATATTTTTGTAACGAATTAATTTAATAATTGCATTTAAATCTATTAATTCTATTAAAAAATGTTTAATGATGTGAATTGTCACTGGTCCGTACCGCTTACCGCACTATATATAAGGGTGCCGTCCCATGACGCGTACCGCCGCGTGTATTCGCGTATCGAAAGATTTGATTAATTACTAACGATCCGCGATTTTATGCAGTAACAGTAATGGATTAAAGAATAGGCATAGAAATCAATCAATCATAGTCGAATGTAAAGAGGATAATCAATTATGATTGGTCGATTTTTATTCCTTAATCTATTTTTACTGCTTATTGTAGACTAAGCATTGTCGCATGACAATTGTCCTTAATGTCTCATGGAGCAGTTCGTGTCTCAGCAAACGAGAATAGATTGAAATGGATTCAGATTTTCAGACATACGGATTCATGAATGTTAAAATGAATCCTTTTCAATTCTAAATGCATTTTTATTCATTTATTGGAATTGCATAGAGCATATTTCTATGCCTTTCAATCTAAAAATAATGGGCGAGTTCAAGACAATAAAACGGCTAGGCATGCTTATTGAGCGTATGGAGCGATTGATATGATTGATTGGATCTATAAATAACAACCAATTATATCATTTATTCAACGAGCAGGCCGCTTTGTCAACTTGAACGCGCTCAATTAGCATTTTCCGTCCATCGTGAATACTACTCAATTCAGAAGTATGAATAGGAAGTACAGTTTTTTTAAATCAGTTAAATTCAAAAATAATATCAGCAATTTCTGTGCAACGTGAATATTGCTCAATTTAATATTCTAAATATGAAATAGTTTTTTTTTTAAATGGATCATAAATGCTACTTAAATTATTCAAAATTATAAGTAGAAAATTTTTCATTTTAATCCATCTAAATTCAAAAAAGTTGTAAAAGTAATTAAGCTATATTCTTTTCTCTTTGATTAGAAGTAAAATGAATGATCAATGTGAATACTTGCAAACCAAATCAAACAGCCCGAATATTAGGCTAATTACGGCACGCAATATCGATCAAGCGAGATTAGATTATCCGACACTTACCTAATGTTGTCTCATAGTAATGTAAATTGTTTATATTTTATTTCTTAAATGATGATATTTTTATTATATATTATACAATTTTGTTACTAGTTTAGCTGTAATTGAAGTAGAGAATGAATAACATATTTATCAATTAAAAAAGTGATGTAACAGATCAGAACAGAACATAGAAGATTCATAATTCAGAAGTCCCAGATTTCAAATCCCACTAAAGTGCGTTTTTTAATATCAATTTGAAGTAGTTAATTTCAGGTTAATATTTATAATTATTATAAATATTATGTATATTATAAATATTATATTTCAATAAATTT